AATTTTGGAGTTTTCACGGTACTAATTATTCCATTTCAATGAAACTTAGTATAAAGATGCTCTAGGACAATGTACAAACCTAATTAGTTTGGGGTAAAAATCTGTTCATATTAATTCCCTAATAAGCATAATAATTCATAATTTTTTGGTTCTAATCACATTTCAATTAAACTTGGAGACATAGATTTTCTGTTACATTGCGCAAGACCTCATTAGTTTTACACTCAAATCTGGTCATATTAATTTTCTGATTTGCATAATTAGTTTTCAGCAAAGTAATTTCGAATTATATTTAATGTGTCTCCAATACTCTCAGCACATGGGAGTTCTTTCTAAGCTTTCTTTGATTTTTTTTAGTATTGACAAATTTGTAATAGTGCATACGTTTTGAACCGATCTAAATATTTTCTGTGTTACACAATTTCACTGTGCCTTGAGGAGGCGCACCTATTACAACCACTACTATTGTGTGCACTGGGTGTGTCGAGTGCACCATTGTGGCGTGTTTTTTTTTTTTTTAAATGTGATTTTTTTTAGGTGCATTGTACTGTATGTGTCTTCAAAATATATTTTATATTCTCACCATTATCACATTCCCATGGTACATACATGTATCATTCCCAGTTAGTGAGTTTTATTGTGAAATATTACTAACTTATGTTTCAAGCACGTGTACAGCTTGAAAAAACAAAACAAAAAAAACTGATGATGTAGCAACATAAAGATGCTTATGAATATGCAAATAGTTGTGTCAATAAATATTGTCGAATATAAATATTAGACTCCCACAAATGTCATCAGCTTCTGTGTGCTCGAACACTACATGGAGAAAACCAAATCGTTAGACAGTACCAATTTTATCGCTGCAATATGAGAACTTCAGATGGTGCAATGAAAGTTTATTGAAATAACAGCTATAACATGTTCCTGTAGTTTCGTGATACGTTTTTGTATTTACCTGGTATGTGCTGTGTAATGCCATTGAATTCTTAATCATACACATCAATTCAGATTACAGCATGTACTAAACGATGCAGTGTTCATCCCTCAGGGTCTTTGCATCATGGTTGTTTGTGAAATTATTGATATGCTAATTAGTCAACCTTCAAAATTAGCCGTCATACTGGGTCGAATGCATACATACTGGTTTGCTGTGAATCTAATAGAACAAATAGCTGGAAAGTAGCACAACTGTTGCAATTCCGAATGAAAGCTTATAACTGCTGTGTTACACATACTTGTGTACTTACATTCCATATCACAAGTATCATGCATATTTCTTAAGAACACTGGTTAATATTCATCTAAGCGTGTTGCTGTTGTTGTGCATGTTTGTTTGCTTACTTCAATATGATCACCAGCACACGCATGTATCTACATGTAACGCTGGATATGATCATTACATATCACCTCGCGTACAGACTGTAATTTAGTTGTGAAAGGTGTTTCCCCTTATCATGTATGTCCTGGTACTGGTAACTTAACTATTACTGTACAGTGACAATGGTTTGAAGCGCTCTACAATTGGATACGTATTGACAAAGTGAACATGACACAAAGACATTTTGTGGCTACTTGTTTAATTGATTATACGTAAATATGCGTAGGTAATGCCGCTAGCCATCTCTCAACCGTCTCCCCATTTGTCAGTTTCCTTGGCAACTGCAGTGTGTTTCCATGGTAATAAAGTGTTCTACAGCCTCTTGCTTTACTAAGTTCATCTCCTGCGGAGTTTTTGTGAACACAAGATGTTTTCAGGACTGTGCCCTGTGCTGATTTACATAACCTTCACTTCTTGACTGCTTGAGGTCTGCATTTTCAGCCTGAAACAGTTTATTTAAATGAGTTGATGTAATTTCTTCCTCTTTCTAATTCTCTCTCTCCCCTGCTTGAAACCACATCCAATCCTCCTCTGAGATTATGATGACATTGTTGACTCACCTTGACGCGATCTACAGACGTTCATGCATAATAATTTGATTATTCGTTTGTTAGCCGCAATTCACCATATTTTGAATCTTTGCGTTTTATCTCTCAATTCTACTGAATAAATACAAATAAAACTGATGGTAATATGAGAATACTGCCAAGTTCGTTCAAAAGTATTTTGACAATCGTATCGACCAACAATTCAATGCTATCCCATACCGCTCTGCCTCAGTGCATACTTTCCCGTAAATTCTTGTGATAATCTGATTGCTATTCATCTTGTTTCGTGCTTGTAGTTATATTTTAATGACAGATTATAGCCGAAAATGACAATAAAAAATGTTGTGCTGTGCAATCATTTATGTTTAGTGACAGATTCTATTTCCGTCACCTGCTATGGTGCTTTTGCATCTGATGTAAACAAACGGAAGTAGTCCATGAGTGTGTCGTCGTCGTCCGTGTCCGTGTCAATGTTTTATATTTTCGACTTCTTCTTGAAAACTACAAGCCTGAATGCTCTGATACTTGGTGTGTATGTACCTAGGGTAGACCCCTCTTAGATTTGTTCATTTCATGATGATATCTTCAATTCTCTAATTTTGGTGAATATTTTTGTCATTTTTGGTAAAAAGTGATATTTTTGACTTTTATATCGTTAAAAACTGCAAGTCCAATTGCTTTGATATTACATATATAGATACTACATGTGGACCTTTCTCGGATTAGTTAATTTTGTGATGATATCCTCAATTCTCTAATTTTGGTGAATATTTTTGTCATTTTTGGTAAAAAGTGATATTTTTGACTTATCGTTAAAAACTGCAAGTCCAATTGCTTTGATATTACACATATAGATGCTACATGTGGACCTTTCTCAGATTAGTTAATTTTGTGATGATATCCTCAATTCTCTAATTTTGGTGAATATTTTTGTAATTTTTGGTAAAAAGTGATATTTTTGACTTCTTGTTGAAAACAGCAAGTCCGATTGCTATACATACTATACATATTGTTCATTTTCTAATGATATCTTCAGTTCTTTAATTGAAATGTGTTTACAGTGAACCGAAAATGTTCACATACTGTTGACTACTGTATAAAAAATAGGTGATTTTCCGTTCAACTGCGAGATCTTGCGAGATGCATGAAAGACGCGCGTCGAACGTCTGCTGCAAAAATCGAACAATTTGATTTTGAACTTGAATTTCTTTATTTCGTAGCTCACATCGACCGGCCAATCTTCGACAAAGGAATATTGCTTTCGAATACCCTCACTTAATCGAAATTGCCTATCATCAAATGTGTACAGCAAATTATTAAGCATGGAAATGCCCCCAAAATATTTTCGCGTTTGTCGAATCCCACGTGATGTTTGACGCCACTACGGCGCTATGACCTTTGTTTGTCCTGTTTTTACGTTTGATTTCACGCATAGCACGTGATTCTCGCAGTGAACGGAAAATGGTCTATTGTCACTGCTATCTGCGCTTTCCACCTCAAACCAGTTTTATAGTACAGTATGAGATGTAAAACAGTGACTGTCATTCATGGTTATTATGCAAAAATCAAAAATCCACTAAAACTAAACTCAGTGAAAATTTCTTCTTTCACAATACCATAGTAACAAACGACTGTTTTCGGTCAGTGCTCACACTGACAAATGTGCATCACGTTTATTTGTCAAAAAATAGACATGCAAGTTATAAAAAAAACCTATGATGAATATTGCTGAGAAGTTGTATTAATATCATTTTTAATTCTGTTCTGTTTTTTTTTTCTTTTATTTGTACCGTTAGTTAAAAGAACACGAAGCACGCAGATTCTTCCAGCAAATTATATCTGGTGTAGACTATTGCCATAGGCATATGATTGTACACAGAGATTTAAAACCAGAAAATCTATTGTTAGATTTTAACATGCATGTCAAGATAGCTGATTTTGGTAAGTTTGGTGTACCCTGGTATGATTGTACTTTATGCTGTAGTAAAATACTTCATTTCAAACATTTTGGCTGAAGTTTATTTTTCGCTGATTTTTGATGAGTTATATGTAAAATGTAGTAGTCCAGAGTTTTAAATCCGGTTTGGTCCCCGAAGACGAGGGTGGCCGGATTCACCTTAAACTAGTGGCAATCGCTCTTACCCCCTCCCTCCACTTTGCACGATTTAAAGCATCCCTCATCCTCATCCCAACCTTCCCACTCTCCTCCTCCACTTGCATCTTCCACGTCTTCTTTGGCCTTCCCCTTTTCCTTGGACCACTCACTTCTAAATCAAGGGCCCTTCTTAATACATGCCCATCCTCCCTCCTCAGCACATGCCCATACCAACGTACCCCATTTGCCTTCGCCAACCGATCTACCGCTTCCTTCAAACCCAACATCTGCATCAAGTCCTCAGTTAACTTTCTGTCCATCAACTTCACCCCACACATCACTCTCACCATCGCTCTCTCCGTCCTCCTTAAAATACCCAGCTCATTTTCACTCAAACACCATGTCTTGCTCCCATACAGCAATGCTGATCTCACACAACTCTTATAAACTATTCCTTTCATCTCCAAGGGAAATCTCTTCCCATATACATGTGTAGTAGCTCTCCACATTCCCTAAACTTCACCCAAGCAAACCTTGCTCTAGCTGTAAAATATAGGAAAAAAAGTATTTTTGGTAGATTTTATTTCCACTGATTTATTCCTTGAGCAAAAATGGTGAATACTTGCTCCCTGTCCCAAGGTTTTCGCAATTAAAATCCGATAGCAAGATTTTTTTGGGGCCTTACCAATATAGCTTTTTAGCTCCACTGTCGACCTTGTCAAGCAGAGCTTATCATATGAGTGATTGTCCGTCATCCATTGTCGCCTGCATAAAAAGTGATATTTTCGACTTCTTGTTAAGAACCGCAGGTCCGATTGCTTTGATACTATTCAGATAGGTACCTCAAGTAAACCTCTCTCAGATTTGTTCATTTCGTGATGATGTATTCAAAATTATCTAATTTAAATGATTATTTTTGTCATTTTTGGTTAAAAGTGATATTTTCGAATTCTTGTTGAAAACAGAAAGTCCAATTGCTTTGATACTATGCATATAGGTACCTCAGGTAAACCTCTCTCAGATTTGTTCATTTCGTGATGATATCTTCAATTATCTAATTTTAATGATGATTTTTGTCATTTTTGGTAAAAAGTGATATTTTTGAATTCTTGTTGAAAACAGAAAGTCCAATTGCTTTGATACTATACATAGTGTTCGTTTTCTAATGATATCCTTCAGTTCTTTAATTGAAATGTGTTTTGCTAACAGCAGAACTATCTCAGCCAACAGGCGGCTTGTTTCAGAATGGTAAATTCTATTCTATTGTATTACACGTACGCTGGAATAACAGCATAAAACTAACAAAAGTTTTGCAAAATTCAAATTGTCTTGTAATTTTGGAAAAGAGAAATAGACTATACATGAAAAACTGTAGATTCATTTATTTCCTTTTCAGAGTACTGTACATGTACCACCTGTTCGTATGTTTGTATTTTTTTTGTAGCATATTCCACACACCCGTCAACATAAGAATAGCACAGTGGAAGCACTTGAAAAACTCAAATTATCTGCTGTTATCTGATTCCAATAAATTATTGATAAACTGTCAGTCAAGTTCGGTGGGATAAATACGCCATGAATAATTGAGCGGGCTTGATAGTTGACACACTACATGTGTATGTCAACTTTTATATATTTTGCTTTGTTTCTGTTTTTAGGTTTGTCTAATATGATGACTGATGGTGAATTCCTTCGGACCAGCTGTGGCTCTCCCAATTATGCTGCTCCGGAAGTTATCTCTGGAAAGTAAGTATTGATATTAAATTTGTTTCTACAACAAATTTTTGTATTTTTCATTTTTTTTGAAAAGCAGACTATAAACAGGACTATTTTGTGAATTTGTGATGAAAAGAGGGAACTGGTGGTGAAATGCATTGTCATTACCTCTGTGTGTTATCAATTGCATTGGTAATAATGTTTTCATATCACAGATGTCTTGTCTTGTCTTGTGTGAAATCTATATTGTTACTGTTGTGGAAATTGTGTTGACGTCATTTTATCTAAGGAGTTTGAATATCGTCATATCATGAATGAATATTACATGGCTGTTCTATACACCTATACTCAGAGCAAGTAATAAACAAGTGTAGCATTTTGGTCAGACCCATTACCTGTCAGCCCCAGCTGTTTCCGTGATGGTTAAAAAGTCTTTGATGTGATGCCTACGTGATGTACACCACACCGGTATAATACATTGTTTGTTTCATGGAAGTTGAATGACTGTCTCGCTCTGGGGGAAGGGGTAAAGTAGTAAAATAGTCAGTAAAATTCATTTTAATTATATCAGACTGCGATTTCAATGCCAGCTGGTTTTCATGAAATTTCAACTCACAAAGTCTCCGTTCAGAGGTATACATATGCACATCAATTTATTTCATGATCTGATTTAAAGATTAAAGATTTATGGATGGATGGATTTTGTTCATAGATATACAGATATATTGGTTTGACTATCTGATTCAAAATGGCCAAATGGTGGCCATTTTTGTTCTAAAAAATCATCAAAAATCAAGCATTTCTGGCATTCCAGAATTGGAGCCTGGTCGTTTATAGATGGATTTTGTTCAAACATGGTACATACATAAGACATTATGGGTCCCTGATTCACCTATTTTAATTTTTTCAAATCGAATTCAAAATGCCTGACTGGCGGCCATTTTGTTTTAATGACTGCAGTTCTAGAGCCATATCTCGGACATTATTTCACTGATTATGTTCAAATTTTATATATTCATTATACATCATGTATGTATTTAAAATTGTCGACCAGTGGCCCTTTTGTTTTAATTAATGTTCCAGAGCAATATCTCTCAATTCGGGCAAGTACTCGTTTGACGATCAGATACAATATGACTGAATGTCAATCATTTTAATGTTAAGAAATCATCATAATTATGCATCAGCTTCTGGATCCATATCTCTGACATATTTATGATCGAACTATATTACTATGAACAAAATTATGTATCTTGAGTTTGATAACTAACGGGACTATGCCGTGCATGACTTGTTCTGGTATTAAATTAAAGTGCCTGTGCAATGCCCACCCACACGCTTCCCATTTCAGATCTGTGCCCCACTAAAATGGGCAATTATTGATTTTTTGGCTGAAAATGATTACTCGTATCCAAGTAAGTTTGAGATATTTCCCGTGTAGCCACGCCCACCTATCCTGAAACGATTGACTGTTCCCGGATTTCCGACTCTCGCCAAAAGTGCGCAACCAAATGCAAAAATATGAGAGGAAGCCGTACTTTTATATCACTGTGTCATTCAACGTACAACTGTACTTTTAAACGATATACATTTTTTAATCGGCGTTTCTTTTGTCTATTTTATTTTATTTTTGAGAGAGCAAATTTTTCGAAGTTGTTTTCACAACAAACATTTATGATGGTTAAACGTTGTGTTGTGGGCGGTTGCAGTAATGCGTATAGTCATAGTGTAATCCGAAGGTGCGAAATCGGTGGACGAAAGCCGTGAAAATAACGAGAAAAGGTTGGGGTGGACTTCCTCCTAACAGCGTCATATGCAGTGTCCACTTCACCTCAGATTCTTTTTTTTTTGAAAAACTGTCCTTGTTCATGACAAAACAACTAGGTTTTAATGAGAAACGCTGACAATACAAAACATTTTCGAAAAAATAGATTCCGGACCAGCCCATGATCACTGAGACGGATTTCAGAAGGGAGAGATACAAATGTACGTCGAGTATGTGTTTCAAATGATTTAATTTTTTTACGATCTCGATTATCACTTTATAGAGACCACCCGTGTTATGTAAAAGGTAGCAGTAATTTTGATAATGACACGAAAACGAAGCGTCGGACAATCAGGAAATTACGCAGCCCTCAGGCTGTTTTCATTTTCACAAGCTAAAAGTGTCTGAATTGTTCGGTTATTGGTGTTGAATGTCAAATTCACATGTTTGTTGCCTTTACTTGCAGCTTGATCAGCGTAATAATTTCCGGAATAAGAATCCGGGCTTGAGCTGTCAATGTATTTTTTTAATATGATGTCATAATCATGAAAATCACGCTAAATCCACTCTGAATTTGTCTGTATGTGAGTCGCTCTCAATTATTTTTGTTATCCAATTAAACGCCGCCATTCACGCACTTGTCCCCCTCATGACCCGACGCGTTCACCCATTACAACGCG